ACACACACACACACACACACACACACACACACACACACACACACACACACACACACACGTTTAACTTGTTTACTCGCGTATGAAACACATTAATGAAGCACATATCATAATAATATTATTTCCAAGCTACCAATTAAACATTTTGTGCAGAGACAATTTTTAATGTGCGTGTGTTTCATTACACAAACCGATTAGGCTACTCAGACAACACATACTTAAAAAGCAAAAAATCATACTGTAACTATTATTTAGAAACTAATAGAATATAAAACCAGTCCCTCTGAATGATACCTTTTTATATTTTTCCTCTTTTTACTGTTATCTTGTTTCTTTTGCTTTAGAGTGTGGAAATCGTAATATTACAACTACCAGGATTATTGGAGGGCAGGAAGCAACACCTGGAGCCTGGCCCTGGATGGTGAGCTCTCATGAGTGTTCAGTTTTCATTAATTCAGGCATTCCTCGTAACCTCTTTTAAAAATTATATATTTAACGACTTTTTTTTTTTTTTTTAAAGAAGAAATGTTTCTAATTTTAATTTGTGAAAAACAAATGTTTGACGAAACATTTAGAAGTAACAAGATTTATTAGGCGAAATATCTCTTAAGCAACTACCTGTAACAAAAACACTATGTAGTCTGAATATTGTTAAACACTTTTTTTATTAGGTCGTCAATAAATTAATTTCGCCTTTTTTAAGTTAAAAAACCCGAACAACTTGTATAACAAAACATTTATTAAATGAAATATTCTCCATTATTATCGATGATGCTTTTCCATCTTACAATCAGGTTATTAATGTCCTGATTAAAGAAATCACTTGGCTTTGAAGCAAAAAACATGCCGATGTCCCCTTTAACACCTTCCACATTTACATACGTTTTTCCATTAAGATGGTGTTGCAGCGAACGAAAAAGATGGTAATCTGATGGTGCCATACCTGGAAAATATATGATGGGTGGGGGAGAACTTCCAAACCCAACTCCATAATCTTGTGTTGCTCAAACGTGCTATATGTGGACGCGCGTTGTCGTGGAGACGAACACCTTTCCGATTGATGAGTGAAGGGCGTTTCTGATGAAGGGCTTGATTTAAAAGTTCCAGTTGTTGACTATAGATCTCTGCATTGACATTTCGCTGTGGATTGAGGAGTTCGAAATGAATTACTCCTTTGATGTCCCACCAAATGCAAAGCATCGCTTTCTGCGGATGGAGTCCAGGTTTTTGGGTCGGAAGTGTTTTTGTTTTTTTTTCTAGGACTGAGCCATTGTTTTTGACGTTTAATATTCGCATATAGAATCCATTTTTTCATCACTGCTGACAATTCTATCCAAAAATGGTTCACGCTCATTACACGCCAGAAGAGACGAAGCAACGTTCAGACGTTGGAAACGATGATCATGGGAGAGTTCGTGAGGCACCCAAACACCTTCGTTATGGAGTTTCCCATATTCCTTAGATGTTTACGTATTGTTTCATAAGAGACATACAATTTCAGGGCCATTTCACGAGTGTATTGCCTTGGGTTAGACTCAACAAGCGTCTTCAGAGTATTAATATCAATTCCAACATGTCTGCCCCAGCTATCAGTTTTTAAAGCTAAAGTCACCTGAATGAAATTTGCTGAACCATCGTTGACACTTACGAACATTCAAAACATTTCCATAAACTTCTTTGCTACTCTTTGTGGCTATAGAGGCGTTGTTTTCTACTTGTGCCATCACTATTAGATATTAGAGTATACTAAACTTTACATATTATATAGGCTACACTAACGTGACGTTTAGGCGGTTCGTTTAACTATTATACGTGATGTACGTTTTTTTTCCAAAACGCGACATTCATTTTTTGATGACCTAATACTTCCTACAACAAACAATACTAGTTTGACTATTGTTACGCACTAAATTTGCTTCCTATAACAAACAATATTAGTCTGAATATTGTTGCACTTTTTTGATTAGTTGCTTGTACTGAGCCAGTCAAAAATAAAAGCACCTTTATGAACTCTAATGTAGCTTTATCACTTAAACTCATGAAAGATCCACAATTATCAAATTAAGCATGGTATGTCAAAGTACTGTTTTTGCTTTTTCTTTAATTATACTTTTTTTTTATATATATATTTAGCTCAAATAGATCAGTTATAGTCCTAACACTAGCCAAGTGCAAAACTTTTATACAAATATTATGCATGTCCAGTATAGAAAAACTTAAAAGCATGGGTAATGAAACTGAAAAAAAGAAAAGAAAAAAGATTCCTATTGTTAAATAATGAGTGGACGAAGGAAATCAAGCATAGGTTTTCCAGGTAGCAGGAAGTTAGCTACTTAGTTAAGTGTTACAAATGTAGGGATTTACGGGACTTTCAAACTTTTTCGTTAATATAATTGTGATATACGATGAATATTTGTGTATATTTTTTTCTTTTTTTTTTTGTATAAGGCTGCTGTCTATATCAAACAAGGAGGAATCAGAAGTGTTCAGTGTGGAGGTGCGCTTGTCACCAACAGGCACGTGATTACAGCATCGCACTGTGTTGTAAACAGTTTAGGAACAGATGTGTGAGTATTCAGTTACTGCTTAATTGTTATTCAAAACAATATGTGTGATTTTTATGACATTTTATAAAGCGAATATTAAAGAATTAAAAAAAAATGTAATTGCTAAACTTTGTGTACACCCCCCCCCTCCTCCCAGTTTTTATAAATACGACAGACGGATAGATAGATGTTATAGACGGGTAGATAATAGTGGCGGTTTTAGCATTTACAAGCAGTCGTGCCCATTGTGGCGCCCCAGTTATGACAGACACATACAGAATATGTCTGAATCTTATATTTTGCAGTTACTTTTCATTTTGTTTTCTTAAATTTCCTAAATGTATTACCTTCAGAATTTTCAGTATCGTGAGATGTACCAAGTATAAGTATATATATATATATCGAAAATATTGAGTTTTAATATCAACACTCGCGACATCAAGTTATCTTTTTTAAACAAATCGGATTTTTTGTTATTCTAACGAGTTCTGTATGTTTTTGTTGTGTGTTCTTGGACAAACTTGAAATGTACCCTAAAACTAGCCATTGTATTTTTTTTCAGGATGCGAGCTGACGTATTCTCGGTTCGCCTAGGTGAACACAATTTATATAGCACCAATGACAGTTCAGATCCAATTGATTTTGCAGTTACGTCAGTGAAACATCATGAAAACTTTGTGCTCGCGACGTATTTGAATGATATCGCAATTCTGAAGTTAAACGACACTGTTACGTTTACGCACAAAATTAAACCAATTTGTCTACCTTATGAAAGCTTAAGGTATGAGGATCTAGCAATGAGAAACCCATTTGTCGCCGGATGGGGAACAACAGCATTTAGTAAGTTAGAAGCTCTGTTTCATTTCTAATTTTATATTACAAATAGGTAGATTTTATATGTTAACTAATATCAGTGAAAACGTAAATCGTATTCTTCGCAAACTGTTCAATGGAGAATATGGGAATTTTTTACTGTTATGGTGTGAACGCCTTTTACAAATATATTAGGCCTAACAGTAACGTCTTATGAGAAGTATAAGGAATTTCTTAGGAAATATATTTTACCACGAAATAAATTTTTAAAAGCACATAATCTACCAATACGCTTCTTAAAAGATCCCAAAAGCCATAGTATAAACAACTTTCTTAAGTGTAAATCAGTATTTCTGCTTATTTAATTAAAAACAACGAACTTATTTGATATGTTTATCAACGGTACTTTATGCGACACGTGGGCAAAATGGCTAGATCAGAGGGTTTGGGTGTAGTCATTCCTAATCTTGAACTATTGACCAGAGGGGAAAGCAGCCAATCAGCAAGGGCTTTACTGAACTATTTGAATATAATAGAGATTGACTGTCACTTTTATAACACGCCTACGCATGAAAGTGCATAACTTGTTCTCAGCTCAATACGTTAGCCACTAAACCACACCCGTCAACAGTTAAGGTGGCGCTAGCATCCTGGGGGCGCGCACATTTATGCGTATACTTAACTGGCTATATAATCCATCACTATTGTGTACTAGTATTTCTGGAACATTATCACGTACTTTAATAACATAATATCAGTTAGACTTCAACTCAGTGTTCCATCCTATAAAACATAATAACATAGCATTTTGCAAGATGTATGACCTCATTGATAGAAGATCAAGGTCCCAAATTCATAAAAATTTAAAGAGACAAAAAGGAGCTTACTAGCCCATCAAGGATGTCCCTTACACCTCCCAATTATAACCACCCTTTACTACTCATGTATTCACCCAATCTTTCCTTGAACTCAGTTAAATGTTTTGCCTCCACCACCCTTGAAGGTAGCTCATTCGAAAAGCCTACCACCCTGTTTGAAAAGTAATACTGTCTAAACTGCAGACGACTCCTACGATGCCATAATTTGAATTTCTGACTCCTTGTCCTGTCGTTTTTATTGGTAAACACAAAGTTTGATGGATCTATATTATCAATACCCTTAATAATATTAAACACATCAATCAAATCCCCTCTGACCCTTCTCCTCTCCAGAGAAAACAAGTTTAGAGATTTGTCTGTCCTCATAGGACTATCCCAGGTATCATCCTATTGACTCTTCTTCAACAATTCAATGCCCTTCTTGAGGAAGGGAGCCCAAAATTGAACACAGTACTCTGCAAACATCTGTAAGATCATTTGTAAGGCTTCATTTAAAGTTGAATTAGTTAAATATCTATACCCATTCACTGACCATTCTATAAGAAACTGTTTCGTTATTATCATTTCTGAATATATTTATGGCTAAGCCCCCATGATTCCTGGTGTTTTTATGTTGTTTTTAGTCATTTGAAACTAACTGAATCAAAATCAATCTAGTAATATGCGTGTTACACCACTTTTATCCAGAACAGAG